TTCTGACATTGTAACGAATACTGAATCCCACGAGACGTCTGAATCTACTTATTTCACCTTACCGTCAATTTCTACATCTTCTGACATTGCAACAAATACTGAATCCCGCGAGACTTCTGAATCTACTTATTTCACCTTACCGTCAATTTCTACATCATCGGATATTGTAACAAGTACAGATACCAAAAACACGTCTGAACCTTATTCAAGTACTTCGTGGTACCCCAGCAGCTACTCAAACCCGACTGTAACAACTACCGAAACAAGTTCAACTTGGGAAAGTCTTCCAACCTTTACATCTGTTACAGATAATACTGCAACTGACAGTATAATTAGTACTTCTATACCTAGTTCTACTCCATCAGTCTTACCTTCAACAAGAACCTCTGTAACATACAGTGATGAAACAAGCCCTTCGTCAAGTACATGGGAAACTTCACCTTATTCTCAATCAACCCATATTTATTCGGAAACAACATCTTATCCTACAATTCACTCAAGTACTTTTAGCCCTGAAACAAGTTCATACCAAACAACAATGTCCGAAAATACATCTGGTAGTGAAACTTTACCCAATAGTTCTACATATTCTACAAGTAATGTATTTAAAACTACAACTTCTGCAACCTCAGAAAGTGATATAACTTCCACAACATATAATCCTACATCATTTGAACCAAGTTCAGATACCCCATTCACTCCTTTCACCTCTACAAATATCCCTACAGAATTTACTTCTGAAACTTCAACATCCACTATATTCCCTACTGATTCGACTATAACAGGACCAAGTAATTTAACTACATCTTATCCATTTTCATCTACTTCAGAATCAATTACCACTGAAACTTTAATAACAAATTCAACAACTTATACAACTGAGACAGAAACTATTTGGACTACTTCATCTGAGACAAGCTCTATTCCACCAATCACAACATCGCCTTTTACACCAATCACAACACAAGAACCGACAGACATCACAACACCAACCAATCCATCATCGGAAACGACACCAGAAGGAAGTCCATTACCACCAATAACTATCTCAACATTAGAAACAACTGCATATCCTCTTCCCCCTATTACTACCAGCAATGTATCAACTCTTCCCCCACAAACAACAACTATAGCTCCATCCACAACCTTCCAACCTTGTCATCCCTATAGATACTACACCATAGCTAATCCAGAAAATACAAGAACCTTTTACTACTGCGTTTATGGCACAAAATATCTGTTCTGGTGTCCATATAATTATGAATTCGATCCTATAAAACACGTAAGTATTTTTATATTTTCACTGTCGCCCGTGATTTCATCCGCGCGGAATAAAACAGCCTATGTGTTCTTCCAGACTGTGTATTCCATTCTTCATCGAGATCCGTTCAGCCGTTCTGGAGATACCTTCAAACAAACATCCATCCATCCATCTAAACATTCGCATTTATAATATTAGTAAGATAAGATTATATTTATATTTCTATGATGTAAATAATAATGAAACTGTTAGTTTATTATGGAATAATGACTAGAGACACAAATCTATTCTGATTGGAGGACTCTTTGCTTTAACAAAGAACATGTACCCTCATTGGTCGAAAAATCATGGCCAGTTCACTCTTTCTTTTTTTGATTAATTATTTTATTTTTTCTTTACAGATATGCACACAACCAGAGGACTGTGAATGTAAACACAAAAACACGAACAATTAATATGTGCATATTCAAAATATTGACATATTTTCATTAAATATGTAAAATATTAGACTATTTTGTCGTCTTTTTGAATAATTTTTGTCTACAGTTATATATTTGTAAATAAATTAAAATGTGTTCAATATTGTTGTTTTAAATTCTTATTTTAAGTTTTTTATTTAAGTTGAAATAGCATATTGAATAAAGCCTTTATCGATAACAGTGTGAACAACCCTAATCTTCGAGTATCTTCATATTACCTACACTGATCTAATCCATACTGCTTTCTTTCACTTTCAAAGAAACTGAGAAATATAACAACTAGTAACTTATAGAAAACGATAAACATTTAATGGTCAAACAATAGCCGTAAAACAGAAATTACTAATGCATTATTTCGTTTTTGTTTGAAAGAGAATAAACGTAGAAAAGGAAAGGGGGAATAGTGCTTATTAGGTAGGGTGTAGTGGACCCTGGAGAGCGTCGGTGGCTCAGGGGTCAAGCACTTGACTTGCAATCTGCAGGTCCTGGGTTCGAATCCCGCTATGTACCAATGTGTTTGTCGATTTCCGATTTACATATGTACATTTATCCGACGTTCTTACGGTGAAGGAAAACATCGTGATGCAACCTGCACATATCTGAGAAGTAATTCAAAGATATGTGTGAAGTCAACCAACCCGCACTTGGCCAGCGTGGTTGACTATGGCCTAATCCCCCTTAACTTAGGGTAGTCTCCGAGCCCCTCGGTGGGGACGTATAGTGAGCTGATGATGATGATGAGTAGACCCTTATTTTAGTGAGGTTTTTTAAACTAAATCTATATTCATCTACTAAAGCCTATGCTACAACTATCCCATGCTTTTAAAACTGACCATTAGCAAAAAATCGACATGATGCACCTTAACACACCATGTCCTCTCTGTCGCCTGTACATTTTTTCTTCGATTGAAAGAAAAGTATTTTTTTATAAAAACATATTAGCAGATTCTTTTTGTAAATTTACTAATATTTCTTTTACAATTCCAACTAAGCTGTATGCTTGTGCTAAGATATGGATTACGACAATAGTCGAATGGCGGGATTCAAACCCCCGACCTCGTGTTCGGAAATCCGTAATCTTAACCATTAGGTTATTGAAGCTTAATGAAATTATTATAATATTTGAGGTTATTTTATATCAGTGTCTGAATATTGAGTGATATTCGATTCATATTCTTCCTAAGAATGGGGTAAAAGTCGCGTTGAATTTGTATGTCAGTTAAGTACATATTCTTACGTGGTAGTTGCACAATATGATTATATTTAGTTACACATTAACTATGTTTTAGATAATTCGTTATGACGTGCCAACTAATACAAGGACGTGGTTCTATGACGTAATAAATCGTTGACGTCATACATTTTTATTATAACGGAAATACAGTATGTTACATCTTTATGCTCATCTGCTATTTTGTATTGTAATAAATATTTTAATAATATTATCCAATCCGAAAAATTTACATTCTCATCGTTCGACCACAATCTTATCTAAAAGTTTATACTCATTTCTCTTGAAGGTGTATACTATTAGACTATTAGTATTCAATTAACTTCGAACACACTTAACACTCTTCTTATTGTCATACTTTGCCTTATATTTGATTTCCAATACATAATATTAAGCTTTTAAAATATTTTGGCGGTCCAAGGTCATCGGACGCTACGTTCCCTTCGCCCGCATCCCACTACGCCCTACACCTATAATTGTTACGCAGCGACTCACGCGAAGTTAACCGCCAAAAATTATAAAAAGATTTATTGCGATTGTTAAAAAAATAATATTTCCCTTAGTTGCAATTAATTTTTTCCACCTATAAGCGTAATAGCGAATCTACATTTGCCGTAGAAACAATAAACCGTTAAATTCTCTATTTACGATAGCATTGTTATAAATTATATTAATTATGGTGATTGTGTAAAACAAAAGCGATTACATTTGCTCTAATAATTAGAGGTGACAGTTTGTTACAGGCCTTGTTGTGTGAGGACCATAGAGAGATGCAGTGCTTACCTGGTAAGTACAACTTGAGAATAACTTAAGATTTACCTTAGTCCAATCGATCGAATAAAGTGTCTTAACAAAGTGCTAATTAAGATCTGACTGACAATCAAATCTTTCATAATTCGTAATTTAATTCCTTATTCCTAAACGTTTTGGAAGTAATGGTCTTCTGTTGACTCATTATCGAGTAAAAGCTCTAACAAAGTTCTTACTTTCAGTGATATTCCTTTTGATATCATCTGTCTACGGCTCTGATGAAGCAAGTAAAGAACGAAGTGATAATGTTGAAGTAAGTATAAAATAAATTGGTATAAGTAAATAAACGCAATAAAAAAATAATACGATAACAACTTGACATGAAAAGTATTATAAGTATACGTACGTAAACAAAATAATAAATTCCAGCTTGCTACCTACACGCGTTTTTGAGAAAAAGGGTCAAAGACAGACGGACAACAAAGTGATCCTATAAGGGTTCCATTTTTTCCTTTCGAGATACGGAACCCTAAAAACTAAAGATAATAATTGTATTGCTTTTCAGATCACAACGAGAGCAAATTATGGTATGATAGGTGATATAAGTAACAAAGGTAGAAGATATAATGTTGATGACACAATTGATGTGGTTAAAGATAATAAAGAAGAAAGTAACATAGCAACAGATGAAACTGAAACACCGCTTATTCCGTTCTCTAGAATCGTACGTTCATTTGATTTCTACAATGATCTATACGATAGTTACAGACGTAAAAATATGAAGGAAAACAAAAATAATGACCCAAAAAATATATTAAACGATATACGGACAAGAAATACCCAATCAAATGCATATAACGAAGACCAAGAAAGAAGGATGTTCTTCTCACATATCTTTTCTTTATTCGACGATGATAAAAATACGAGAAGATCTGGGAAATCTAATGAAAAAAATAAACATTCCAAATCGCATTTTGATCACGAAATAGATAATTTTAAGAATCCAAAAGCTCGTACAGAACAACCAATAGTTCAATACAAACACGATTCACATAAGAAAACATCTTTAAAACGACAAGATATGGAACCTGAATACGATTCATTCGAATCAACTATAGAATCGTACTTGAACGGTAAACGATTATCAAATAATCAATATAACGATGATAATGAAACTAAACATAAAAAAAAGAATAAAGGAAGACATCACTCCCGTCCAGAGAGACAACTGGCTGATATGGGAAGCTTTGAAATTGTTGAAAATCAAACGGAAGATGATAGTGTTGGCCATCAAGAATTTATACCGAACAAAATGATCACGAATAGAAAAAGAAAAAACACTTACGAAGAAATCGATTCACAGAGTTCATTAATAAATAGCGATGCAACTTCAACGCCTGAAGCAAAAATCGAAGATGAAAAAGACAGTTCAGAAACTGCTTATTTAATTCGAACACCTTCATTCAATTACTACCAAACTAACGTAACTTACGGAATACCTAATGATGAAAAACCAAACGAAAATGAAGATGATAAACCTGATAATGATGCAGAAGTTTTTGAAGTTCAAAATACATTTAATAATACAGAGAATGAAGTAAATATTCAAGAATCTGTTACTTTTATTCCAGATGTACAAAATACTATAACATATGAACAAAACACAGAAAGTGTATCTCAAGATGAAACTATTAATATAGCTAAAGATGACAAAAATACAAGCATAAGAAAACCTATAAATATTGTTGAAGAATTTAAGAATAACCAAAGTCATGTTACAGATATAGATTCTGAAATCATGGATGATTTAGTCGGTAAAGATACACGAAGAATTAACTATATTAATGTAAATGAAGAAATAAGTAAAGAAACAAAGAAGCCCATTGAAATCTCAACTGTCAAAGAAGAAATAGAAACACCTGAACAAGAATTAAAAGTTACAAAAGACTACATCGAGGCCATACCTAGCAATATTAGGAACCCATTATCAGCTCGAATAAAATTAGATGTATTAATACAATTTCCGTCGCAAATTGATATTGGAAATGAAATATAGTTAGTTATTAAAAAATTTAACTTAAATTAGTATAAATAACCATATCATCATCATCAGCATCACCATCATCATCATATTCAGCCCTAATTCGTCCACTGCTGAACGTAGGCCTCCCCCATCGATTGCCACAATGTCCGGGTCCTGTGCCGCCCGTATCCAGTGCACTCCCGCAACCTTGACCAGGTCATCGGTCAATTGTGCGAGAGGCCTACCTACGCTGCATCGACCCGTCCGCGGCCACCACTCTAGGACTTTTCGGCACCATCGGCCGTCCGTTCTGCAGGCAGTGTGCCCATCGCCACTTAAAGTTTGCAATTCTACGGCAATATAGGTACGCGAATAACTACATAGATATTGTGTTAGATTTACATTTGACATAGTTATTTATTAGACATAAATAACTATGTCAACTTGTTCATCTCGGATAAAATAAAATTAAAACAAAAATGTATTCGGTACGGTCTTTATTTCACGACTGCCAATGCTTTGTCCATTCTACTTGCAACTCTTCACATCCCAGTTGACTTTATACATCCAAAGTGTATAAAAAAGCAGGCGAATATAGAATAAAATAAATAAAACACAGCCTTTGTTTTAATACTGTCGTTCTCATTTTGTATATATATATATCTATTTATTTAATGACCCTTTGCTGTACAACCGTAGTCAGATATAGCGACACATTGCTGAAACAAATACAATAAATATTATATAAGTATACATTACAGATGTAGAAGGCAAATCTTGCTAAAAATCTCTCAAGAAACTATACTTAATATTTAAAAGAAAAAACAAAAAACGACTGACTACCCCTATAACTAGCTGTCGTCCGCAACTCTGTCCATGCGGAACAATAGTATTATCTACATAATTAGTAGCCTATGTTTTCTTCCAGACTATGTTCTATATGTATGCCAAATTTCATCGAGATCCGTTCAGCCGTTATAAAGACACTTTCAAACAAACATCCATCCATCCATCCAAACATTAGCATTTATAATATTAGTAAGAAGTAAGATTGAATACAGAATACGAATCGATGAACTCTTAATTTTTTTTAAATTGATCCTGTCTTTTTGGTTTCAACTCTATAAAAACAATAAATACGCGCGAAAAACATTACCCACCAGAGACAATAGGATTAAGGCGAAATTGATTTTCTATCTATAATGCTTATAATACTTACTGCAACATTGGGATCAAATTCGAAGCCGGCACTACAGTACAGATGTATGGGGAAACCTCCAGTGCACATGTAGAATGAATTGCATTGCGTCGGATGCGGTACATTGCCGAAGTAACCTGGCGGACATAACGCTGCCTCCGTAGTCGTTTCTAATTTAACGGTACTTTCTGTTGTGGATAAATCTGGAGTTACATCTAGATCTTTCGTTGTTAGCTCTGGCTTTGTTTCCAATAAACTAGATGTTGTCTCTCCTTCTTCTTCTATAGTTGTTTGATATTTTTCTGAGTTTTCAGATAAAGTCGTAGTTCCCGCTGCAAAAGAGTAATATCAAATAAATCTTGTTAATTATTCAATAATAAATTTTAAAAAGATTTTATTGTATATTTTAAAACAAACCTTTTAGAGCCGTACAACCGTTTTCTGATATTGGCACGCATTGCTAGAAATAAACACCAAAATTATTAGTAAAATCTTTGCGAAGAAGTTAAATGAATTATTTTATAACATACTAGCGGTTGCCCGCGACACCGTCCGCGTGGAATTAAAAAAAAATAGTAGCCTATGTGTTCTTCCAGACTATGTTCTATATGTATGCCAAATTTCATCGACATCCATGCGACTGTTCTGGAGATACCTTCAAACAAACATCGATCCATCCATCTAAACATTCGCATTTATAATATTAGTAAGATTAGTATCTAATTTAATTATTTTACCTCTGCATTCTTATCGAATTCAAATCCTGTACTACAATATAATCGGATTGCAATACCACCAGCACACATGTAGAATGAATCACATTGATCTGGATGTGGTACATTTCCGAATTTACCGGGAGGACAAATTGGAGCTACAGTTGTTGCATCTATTCTTTCTGTTGTGACACTTTCAGTAGTTAATCTATCAGAATCTGTAGACGTTCGTTCTGAATTTTCTTCAGCATTAGCAGGAGTTGAAACAACTGTTGTACTTTCTTCTTCCCTAGTAGTTGCTTCTTCAGTAGTTATCTTTGATGATGGATTAATTTCATTCGTAGTTTTATCATCTATAGTTGTACTTGGTATTTCAGTTGTTGTTTGTTCTGATGTAGATTTTGTTATCAAATCTTGCTCTTGACTTGTAGAACTAGTTGTAGACGATCCTGAAACATGATAAATGTTTTAAATGGATATTCATTTTAAGATATCAAAACTTAATATAAAAAATTACTATTTAATTTACCTTTCATTGCAATACAACCGGTATCCGATATAGGGACACAGTTCTGAAATCAATTACAAAACAATTGAATGAAACCCAATACATTATATGCAAAATACATAACTAATACTCGAGATTTAAAGTTAATAGATAATTTATATAAACTTACACCAACAGCAGAGTCAAATTCGAAACCACTACTACAGTACAATTTAATCGGAAGTCCGCCTGTACATAAATAGAAAGCATCGCATTTAGTTGGATGAGGAACATTTCCGAACGCACCCGGAGGACAAATAGCTGCCTGTGTTGTAGTTTCTATGCTTCTAACTGTAGTAAGAATCTCTTCAGTTGTTAATGTTAGACCTTCAGAGGTTATTCCATCAGTTAAATATGCAGTTTCAGTTGTATCTGTGACTTTGACAGAATCTGTTTGACTATTATCTGTGGTCAGAGAATTATCAGTCGTAGACTCAACTTCTCTAGTGGTCACTTCTTTTGATGTTGTTAAGTCTAATGTTGTTTCTTCATTAGTAGTTAAATCAACTGTAGTTACAATATCTTGAGATGTTGATGTTTGTTCTGTTGTGTCCGTAGCAACTGTTTGAGGATTAACAATTGTGGTAAGTACATTTTCAGTTGATTTGTGAATTCCTTCTGATGTACTTTCTGTAATTACAACTGTACTTTCAGAATCAGTCACAGAAGTTGATTCGAAATTCGTTGGATCTGTTTGCATAGTAATATCTTCTGGATTAGTATTGTCTTGGTTAGTACTCTGTTCTAAATCAACTACTTTGGTTGTTATATCAGGACTCGTTGTCGTTGTGGTGAGACCTTAAAGATACCATTTTGTTAGTGACTTAATAAAAAATATATTAATAAATTAACTTTTATATTATCTGAATTAAAATACCTTTTAGTGCTGTGCAGCCACTGTCCGAAATGGGAACACACTGCTGAAATTAAAAATAAAATTTAATCAAACGTAATAAAAATAAATAAATTAATCTTAGTAATATTATATATCCGAAAGTTGGGATGGATGTTTGTTAGAAAGTATCTCCAGAACGGCTGCTCGTATCTCGTTGAAATTCGGTATATATGTAGAACACAGTTTGGAAGAACACATAGGCGAATAGTTTTTTTATTAGTGCAAACAAAATCGCGGCCGACGCTTAGTAATTCCATAAAATGTGTAGAATTAAACGAAATATTTTCGCACTAAGTACGCTTCAGCTGAGGGACATCAATATTGGAAATACATATATATCATTATATGACAAATACGTATTATATACTCACTCCAAATCCAGGATCAAATTCGAATCCATTACTACAGAATAGTTGTATTGGAATTCCTCCTGTGCATAAGTAAAATGAATCACACAGAGTTGGATGAGGAATATTTCCGAATACTCCCGGCGGACATATTGGAGTTTCCGATGTGGGTTCGGTACTTCTTGCTGTTGTAGAACTGATATCATTTGCTATAGTTGTATATATTTCTGTGGATGTATCTTTGGATAGTGTAGTATCCGTTGACGTTTCATTATCGTCGGTAGTCACAGAAGTTGTCGTAGACTCATGCTCTTCATTTGTTATTGTTGGGAATGAAGTCTGATCACTAGAAGTTACATCGTTATTAACTGTACTTGATTGTGAGTCAGTTGTAGAAATACTATTACCAGCCTCTGGTGTTGTTTCACCGTCATCTTCTGTCTGAGTGATTGTTGTTGATTCCTCTCCTTCATTTGTCGTTCGTTCATTAGCTGTTACATCGTTATTTGATGTTGTCTGTAAATTAACTGTACTTGATTGTGAACTATCAGGTAACGTAACATCAGAAGTAGACGTAGCAGAAGTTTGTGAAGCATCTGGTTTGGTAACAATTTCTAATGTCGTGGCATCATCATTCATTGTTGTATCAACTTCTGAAGTAGTTTGTTTAGTTGTTCGATCTGCATCAATCACTTCAGTGGTAAAACCAGGACTTTGTGTCGCCTCGGAATTACTTGAACTACTTTCTACTGTGGGCTGGGTATATTCCTTATCTGTGGTTGATTCGCTATTAGAACCGGTTGTAGTCATACCTGGGTAAACAATCGTACACCATTAAAATATGATTCAAATAATGTCATTACAATTTAAAGTAAACTCTTAACTAGGTTTTAAAAATTACCTTTCATTGCTGTGCAGCCGTTTTCAGATATTGCTACGCATTGCTGAAATTTAATCGAGAATTAAATAAATAAGTATGTAATAAATAAAACCAATAAATAAAATGTTGTCATATAAGAAAATTTATCCATAAATATTAAATAGTACGATATTTCAAAGATATGCAATACTCACGGCAAGGGTTGGATCGAATTCAAATCCATTGCTGCAAAATAGTTGAATTGGAATTCCACCGGTGCAGAAATAAAATGAATCGCACATAGTTGGATGAGGAACATTTCCGAACACTCCTGGCGGACAGATAGGTGCCACTGTTGTAGTTTCAGTATACCTTATAGTAGTTTGAACGTCTTCGGTTGTAACAGTTAGTCCTTCAGAGCTGTACCCATCATTAGAAGTCGAAGACAACTCAGTAGACGTATCTACAGGTTGTGTGCTATCTGGAGATGTGTATTGTGAATTATCGGTTGTCGTCTTTAATTCTTCACTAGAAGTTGTTGGTTCTTGTGTAGTTGATGATAAACCTTCAGTTGTGGTGTCTTTAATAGTAGTTACTTCAAATATTGTCGAATCAGAGTTAACTGTTGTTTCACTGTCTGAGGTGACAACATTTTGTTGAGTGGTTTGTCCTAAATTATCTGATTCGGTTGTTATTCCAGAATTTGATGTTGTACTTGACATTTCTGGAGAGTTGCTAGCACTAGTTTCAGTACTGAATTTGGTATATTCTTCATTTGTGGTCGACGACTCGTCTACAGTTGTTGTACCTTCAAAATAATATGAAAATTCATTAAAATAATGATAAACTGTCACACTCTTTAAATACTGTAAGTTTGGTAAATAATAATTACCTCTCATCGCCGTGCAACCACTATCAGTAACTGGGACGCAGTGCTGAAATAAAAAAAAAACTTAATAATGGATGCTTAAGCAAACAATGTCACTAAAATAGTGGATAAATGCTACATGTACATTTAGAACTATTTAGAATTAAATATCTTCACCTATTAGACTCTAAAAATACGAAATCTAACTACTCTAACTAATCTACTATCCTCTTAAAATACTCACACCAACGGCAGCATCAAATTCAAATCCATAACTACAAAATAGTTGTATTGGAACTCCACCGGTGCAGAAATAAAACGAATCGCACAAAGTTGGATGAGGAATATTGCCAAAAACTCCTGGCGGACATATTGGAGTCTCCGATGTTACTTCCGTACTGCTTGTCGTTGTAGAACTGATTTCATCTGTTGTATATATTTCTGTAGATACATCTGTGGGTTTCGTAGTCTCTATCGAAATTTCACTATCGTCTGTGCTCTGGTTTGTTGTTGACTCATCTTCACTTGTCTGTGTTTGGAATGTCGTTTCCTCATTAGAAGTTACATCGTTATTTGTTGTCGTTTGTGAATTAAAGGTACTCGTTTGTAAGTTGTCAGTTGTCGAAATATCATCAAGAATTGAAGACGAGGGAGTAGACGAAGTTGGTAGAGATGGTTCTGTAATAATTTCAGATATTGTCGTATCTGTGTTCACTATCGAATCTTCTGAAGTATTACTTTGTTCTGTAGTTGTTTCGGAATCAATTGCATCACTTGTTAATCCAGTAGTTGATGTTGTGATTGCAATCCCGTCAGGATAACTAGAACTACTTTCAGTTGTAAACTGAACAGTTGTGTAGTCATTAGAATTAGTAGTCGTACCTGTAAATAGAATTTCAAATAATGAAACAGAACTTTAAAGTATAGAAACAACAGTTTTTAATTGAAGTAAAATTAAAAGATATCAACACTACCTCTCATTGCTGTACAGCCACTATCAGAAACTGGAACGCAGTGCTGAAAAACAAATTAACAAAAGAATTATGAACACAATCTTACAGTATTTTTCTGAGTTCAAAATCGCTATATTAACATATCATCATCCCTGTCTTCTATGACAATATTTTTAAACGGAGATTTTTTCTTAGAAGCCTCTGATTAAATAATTAATACTATATAAAATACTCACTCCAATATCAGGGTCGAATTCAAATCCATTGCTACAAAATAGTTGTATTGGAACTCCGCCGGTGCAGAAATAAAATGAATCGCACAAAGTTGGATGAGGAACATTTCCGAACACTCCGGGCGGACAGATTGCTGCCTGGGTTGTAGTTTCAGTATTCTTTACTGTAGTTGTGGAGCTTATACTTGTGGGAGTTGTGTACACTCCTGTTTCACTTGATACTAAATTATCATCTGTAGTCGGTGAGAAGTTTGTCGTTGACTCCTCTTGTTCTGTAGTTTTTTCTGTTGGTACTTCCACATGTCTTGTAGTCTGTGTGGGTTTTGTTGATTCATCTTCACTTGTCTTTGTTTGGAATGTTGTTTCTTCATTAGAAGTTACATCATTATTTGTTGTAGTTTGTGAATCAACTGTACTTGACTGTGAACTCTCAGGTGTAGAATAAGAAGTAGAAGACGAAATTGATGAACTAGTTTGTTCCGTAACAGTCTTCGATGTTGTCGAATCAAGGCTCACTGTTGTGTCTCTTTCCAAGTCATCCTTTGTTGTTATTCTAACAGTAGTAGATACTGTAGCAGGTGGTTTAGTGACTATATAAGTCGAGTCACTCTCGGAATTGTCTAAAGTTGTTAAATCATTTTCTGTAGACATTTGATCTTCAGTTGTTTTGTAGGTAGATTGTGGGTCTTTTGTTACAGGATACGTACTATCATTATCATCACAAGTGATGTCCGTTATTTTTGTTGTGTATTCAGTTTCATCTCTTTCTGACGTGGTATCACTATACTGGGATGTTTGTGTTACATCATTCTCCTGAGTGGAACTCGAAGACAATGTCTGAGTCTCATCTGGACTGGTTTCTGCAGTAATAGAGGTTAATTTATCACCGCTTGTAGTTGAATCAAATTCTGTATTCATTTCAGTTGTTGTTCCTGTAAAGTAATAATGTAATTAAAATCTATTTGACAATTGTTTGTAAATAAAAAGAAAAAAGTTACAAATTATTACCTCTTAATGCTGTACACCCATTTTCAGATATAGGCACGCAAGACTGTAATAAAATTAAAGTTATTATAAATACATATCATACTTTTGCTTGGAGCTTACACATTTTTAAATATTTTACTTACACCTATTTCAGGGCTGAATTCGAAACCACTACTACAGAATAGTTGTATGGGGATACCGCCTGTGCATAAGTAAAACGAATCACATAGAGTAGGGTGAGGAACATTTCCAAATACACCCGGTGGACAAACATTTGGTGTTATTTGTGTTGTAGATGTCAAATCTGGTCTGTATATTTCTGTAGTTGTTTCTAATGGCTCATTATTTGTTGTTTGAGCAGATGTTTCCGCTTCTTCAACTGTAGACTGTGGTGAATCTGTTACAATCCAATCTGAAGTAGATATTGTCTCTACACTTGTCGGCTCTGTGATTGCATATTCAGTAGATACTTCTGAGTTACTTGTAGTTGATTGACTAAAGTCTAAAGTTGTTTGTGTATCTTGTATCGTTGTAATTTCCTTTCCCGTTGTTGTATACTTATCAGTAGTTTGTGGCTCATTAGTAAGCAATGTACTTTCAGTATTTGACTCTGCTGTTGAGGTTATTATATCATTTGTGGTCTCTTTAACGTCTTCGCCTATAGTTGTTCCTAAATCTTTTGTGGTTGAATCAGTTTGTCCCGAATCAGTAACAATACTAGTAGATTTTGTTTCTTGTTCGTTTGATGTGGTAGTTTCAATAATTTCACTTGTCGTCTCATACACTGTATCTGTTGAGTGTCCTGGAAATACTGTATACTCTGTAGATTCCGTATACAAACTTGTAGTAGTACCTAAAATTATGTACATTTTAAATTTTATTATTTCATTAAAGATAAATGCAGTTTTATTATTTAACTACATACCTCTTGAAGCTGTACATCCATTATCTGAAATTGGGACGCAGTACTGAAATATAAGAGACAAATAGATTAACTTAGGCTTAGATAATAGATATGATCTAATTATATTATAACTTTTTACTAATGTTATAAATGCGAATGTTTAGATGGATGGATGGATGTTTGAAGGCATCTCCAGAACGGCTGAACGGATTTCGATTAAATTTGCCATACATATAGGCTCCGACCCCTCGGTGGGGACGTAGAGCTGATGATAATGATGATGATGATAGAACAAAGTCTGGAAGAGCACATATGCTGCTAATTTTGTTTTATTTTTAATTCCGCGCGGACGGATTCGCAAGTAGCCGATAGTATGGTAAATAACAGTGTTACTCACAGCTACATTTTCGTTGTACTCATAACCGTCACGACAGAATAGTTGAACAGCAATACCTCCAGTACACAAAAAGAAGGAATTACAATATACAGGATGTGGTATATTGCCAAAATATCCATCGGGACACAACGCTGTTTTCTCAGTAGTTATTTCAGAGCCACTAGTAGTATCTGTAGACGAAATTGTTGAAGTTCCATCTGTTTTTATACTTGTTTGTATCGTAGTTGTACTGAATTCTACAGTGTTAGCTGTTGTTGTGTCGTTGAATATTTCTGTTGATGTCTTAGTGTACTCTGTATTAACGGTTGTCTCTTCAAAAACATCTGTAGTTTTAAATGTTATGTCTTGTACTGTTGATTCTATTTTTAAAGTCGTATCTGTGGAATCTTCAGTTGTTTTATGTGTGCCTGGTACTTTAGTTGTTTCAAATATGTCTTCCGAAGTTGAAGAAAACATTGTTGAAAGTTCTGGTAATTTTGTAGTATCTGAATCTGTTGATGATTGGAGAGTTTCTGTTGTACTTTGCTCGTTAACTGTACTTGCTTCATTAGACCCACTACTTGTAGAAATATCGTTGTCGGATGGAGTAGTTGAAATATCAAAATTAGTTGAAAGGGTATTTTCATTAGTCGCCAACGTGTTCGTATAATCTTCAGTAAAAGACTCAGTTGTCTGTTGTCCTGAAAATTTAATCTAGTTATAAAAAGAAACAATTATTATGTTATGTAGAATAAGCTTTTAACTATATTTTATTAATAAATTCAATAGAAATACTCCTTACCCTTTGAAGCAGTACATCCGTTTTCAGTTATTGGAACACAAAACTGAAAAACGAAAAACAAATTTTAATAGAAATGTTACTAGCATTTGTTTTAGGTTAGTACCGCAATTATCGATTAAAAAATAAACAACAACAGTTAAAAATACTTACTGCAAGTTTTTCATCGAATTCAAAGCCATTGCTACAAAATAATTGAATAGCAATTCCACCTGTACACATGAAGAACGAATTGCACAGTTCTGGATGTGGTATATTCCCAAAGAAGCCTTCAGGGCACACTCCTGGTATTATTGTAGATTTATTAGGATCATCTGTTGTTATATCTACAACTCCTGTTGTAGTATCATATGATACAGTTGTTAAGTCATCTGGTGTCTCAGTTGTTTCATGTTTCAATGTTGTGTCACTTGGTCTTGTTGTTGTTTCGGGATCTTGGATATCTGTTGTACTTATTTCCTCTGTCTGAGTAGGATTAAAAGTTGTAAGTTTATCATTTGGGACCGTGTAATCTGATGTCCGAGTTGTTGAATGTTCTGATGTCCGTGTTGTTTCTGTGGTGATTTCTTTTAAAGTTGTTGACTGTTCGGTTTCATTGTCAGTTATAGTTGACGGTTGATATTCAGTTGTGTCATCAGATTTTGTAGTCATTTCAATGTGTACGGTTGTTTTGAAATCTTTAGTTGTTCTATCGGTTGCGATGGTTGTCGAAATATCTTCTGTTGTTGTTGATCTGCCTGAAATGTTTAATTGCAATTTTTATAATTCGCAATAGTTAAAACCTTTTGCAAAGCTTTATTAAGCACAGTTTTGAAGAAGGTATCATTTGATGCTTTAAATAAGTAAGAATTACTTACCCTGCATCGCAGTACAGCCATTGTCCGAGATAACAACACATTGCTGAAACATATTATATATTAAAAACTTCATACAATTCTGTTATTATCTATTTCTATATATATATAAAAAAGTCGTGTTAGTTACACTATTTATAACTCAAGAACGGCTTTACCGATATGGCTGAACATTGGTAAGGAGGTAGCTTAGACCCAGGAGACGGAGATAGGATACTATTTATTCTTTTTTTTTTCGAATTTATGCCTTGAAGAGCTGCTTTTTATTTAACTTACTTATATTATAAATGCGAATGTTGAGATGGATGTCATATGGAAGGATGGATGGGTGTTTGAATATATCTCTAGAACGGCTGAACGGATCTCGATTAAATTTGGCATACGTATAGAACATAATCTGAAAGAACACATAGGTTACCCTAATTAAGTTTTTTTTATCCACGCAGACGGAGACGCGGGCGACAGCTAGTAAATTAATAAGATTGTTGTTAATAATACTTTTACTTACCCGTATAGCAGGATCAAATTCGAATCCGTCACTACAGAACAATTGTATAGGAATACCACCTGCACACATGTAGAATGAATTGCAGAGTTCTGGATGTGGAATATTTTCGAAAGTCCCTGGAGGACAAATATCCAAAGATGGGTTACCTGTAGTTGACTCCAATTTATCAGTAGTCACCTAAAAAAACGAAAAAAAATCACTGCTGTAATTGAAACTTAAGTTGTATTACATTTTTTTATGATTGATTGTATGTTGTGTTTTGACTGGGTATAGCAAAGAACTATGGAAAGTGTTTATGGTTAAGGAATTTCCAAATGTCTAATGTGACAAGTGAAATTGAATTCGTGGAGTCAAATCAGGTACCAGAGATGAACTAATACTCCATATCCTTAAGCATTGAATTTTACAAAAGGCGTGGCATTGCAGCACTTAAGACTATTTGTTTGACATGTTCAATAGTGCTAGGTATTAGATTCATCCAAGTATATGTTGGTAGTGGTTTTGATTTCTGCAGTTTCGTCTTTTACTGTTGTATAATGATTGTACTTACATCGGAATCTACTGTTGTGCTTTCAGTTGTAGTTGTAAAATACTCTGATGTTATTTCTGAAGGTGTTGTCGTATCTTCAGTTGGTTTTGTTCCACTATCTGTTGTAACAATAGGTGGCGTGTTTGACTCCGAAGGTACTGTTGGGTAGCTTATAGTTATCGGTACCTGTTCTGTTGATAAAGGAGCTTCTGTTGTTTGATTATCATCAGGACCATTTGAAGTTATTGATTGATCTGGATTGGTATTTGATTCGATTGTACTTAAAGAAGGTCCGGTGGTAGACTCGATGGTTGTACTGTCAGTAATTGATTTTTCTGTTGTGACAGTTTGTGGATTTGTTTGATAGTCTTCTGTTGGTGTTTCAGAAGATGAAACTGTGTAACCTTCTGTTGTAACTGGTGGAAACGTGTCACTATCAGTCGTCGCTGTAATATCAATATCTTCATGTATAGTCGTTTCGTAATCTACCGATGGGGTTTCAGTGGATATTGAGGTGGTTGTTTCATGATTTTGAGTTACGGTTTCAGAAGATATCGTGGTGTGTTCTGTTGTTGTTGAACCCGAAGTCGGATAACTTTCAGTCGATGTTGTTGAGGGAGTTGTATCATCCGAACCATCTGTGGTTTTGGTGGTATCTAGTTGTGGAGTTGTTTCATACTCTTGAGTGTTTTCAGAAGAAACTGTAGAGTA